TATTTTTTTATTTTTGTTGGAATTATTTTTCCACCCAGCCCTAACACAGAGCAACTCAAATAAAAACTAGAAAATGCATTTCCTGCAGAAAATGCGTGCGAATGCTGTAAACTGTGAACATTTGTGGCTGAATTTAGCTGAAAATGCAGAAAAAGCTGAATATGTTATTAGCTGAATGGTAGCTGCTTTTAGCTACAAAAATGCAGAAAAAGCTTAATATTTAAAAGAAAAGGTTTAAAAAAAGGTATAAACAACATGTATAGCCTTGATGTCCTGAAATAGCTGAATAATGTAATAGTTGAATGGTTGACCAGTGAAAAGAGGTGCTGCAGCACAGGCAGTATGAGAAAAATAAAGAGCTTTTTGAACATTAAAGCATGGCACAAAATACAAATGTGTTCTCTTTAAACTTAACTGTGGTCTTGGCAAGAATCAAATTCTTGAGAATCAAGAATAAGAGTCTTCATGAAGATCAGTATCAGGGTAATGAGTTGTCACTTGATGATGAATTAACAAGTTTGACAGATGTTCAGAGTTTTTGTCTTCAATATGTGAGCTCTTCATTGAAGGTGTCATGAAACTTCATGCCTTGGGTAACTCTCTTTAGCGCACATTCTTTTTCGACAAACGTCTAATTACATTGCAAACACACACGCATGCACACACAAACACATGATGCAACACACACCTTGGAGGAATACCACTGGAGAAAGAGGAGTGCCCGAGCAGGGAGTGTGGGGTTTATGAATTTTTCCACTGACTGTCCGTGATGCAATATCTGAGCGTAAACCACAGTGATTTACAATGACTGTAAAGATGTAACGAAGTATATAAATAACTGATACAATATTAATTCTTCAGTCTGACCATGAGATCAGAATTAAAAAGGAGCCACTTGTTTATTTCTTACTCCAGAAATGACTCCAATTCAGAATGTACCCTTCCTGTGTTGACTTATGATGTATTAGTTTACACTCTTACATGTGTGTCTCTGTTTCTCTCTCAGGTTGCAGTGTGTGTTGCAGGTGGTGTGTGTGTGTTTGTCAGCAGACTGCGGGTTGCAGACAGTGTCGGGGGGTGTGTCCGTCCTCACGTCCATGTCCGACCAACACACACTGGCCCAGCAGCTCTGCTCTCAGCACGGTCAGTCTCCACACACTGCTAGAGTATTGATATGGCATTGACTTCACTCCAAGTTTATGTCATTCTCATGCTCTGTAACCTCTCTTTGAAGTTTATAAAGGTTTTTTACTTTGCTTCTAATGTTCACTACATGTGTCTGCTCCACATGATGTAACTGCAGCAGTGTTTGATTGTTGTTGTTTTCTTTAGACCCGTGCATTTTCCTGAAGTTGTTCCAGTTTATCAGAACGAGACCAGACAACCAGGCAACACACACAGACTGGATTCTGTTGGACCTGCAGGTAACACAAACACGTTTACACACACACACACATACATGCTGCAGAGGTGTAGTGATTCTGCTTCGTATAATAGTTGAAGAAATGGACTTGGTCTTATTACTTTTTTGTTGTCCGACTGCATCTAACCTCAATTGTTTCGGTCTGTTCTAATTCTCTACGAGTCATGCGTGTCCTTGTAGCCTCAGTGCCATTAAATCTCCAAATATGGATAATGGCGAATTGATTTAGGAAAAGACCATGGGGGTGCTAAAATAATCTGACTCTACTTAAACAGTGTATGTTTTGTTTTTTTAAGTAACGTTATTTACAATGAGTAAAATGAAGAACTCAATGCTGTACAACGCAAATATGAAGTTCCATCCAAACACAAACCCTCCTAAGAGGGACGTGTCCTTTTTCTCCACAGTGTATAGGGCATACATTGTTGACAACCGAATGATATGTCTTTTTAAAATGTGCTGCTGTATTGTGAACTCGACTTAATTAAAAAATGAACTGCTCCTACTACTAGGATCAGTTAAATGCAGAGGCCAAATGTCACTGTGTGTGCTGTGTGCTCTGCATGTGTGACCATTAAAGAGGGTTTCATCCCTCCAATTCTCGATTCTACCTATTTATTTGAGAATTTACAATACTTTAGTTTGGGCCATGATTGTCTTTGTGCCACAGGTGGTTCGTTTGCTGAGCCGACTGATGGCCCAGAGAGCAGAGAGCTGGACTAACAACCAGCACAGCACCTGTCAATGTGACACGGAGGTAAGACTGTCTGACCCTCTGCTCTGTTTTTATATAGTTACATTAAATGTTGTGTTGCAACTTTCTCTCATCTCGCTCTCTCTCAGTTGGTCCAGACTGTGGTGATTGTTTTCCATCGTCAGTGGTTGGATCTTCGCGGTTCAACAGGTCAGACTTATTTATTTCACCCCTTGTCCCTTAAACTATTTATAAAACCCATTAATGTGTCCTAAAAATAGTTGATTACCAATTATTGTCATTTTTTCCGTCTTTCCTTCAGGCTTGGCCCCGCCCCCACCAGAGTGCCCCACCCCCTTGTTACCATGGTGGCGCGGCCCTGCTGCTTCCCTGCTCAGAGAGTGTCTGCTGCTGCTGCACTGGCTGCTGCTGCATCACGGCAGCTTCTCAGAGAGCTGCAGGCCACTGCTGCACATGTACGACCAGGTGATCCCCGCCGTACGAGACACGCTGAGGAGGATCCCCGAGCTGAGCGAGAGCGAGGGTACGCACAAACACGCACAAACAAACAAACAAACACACTAATCAAAAGACGAAATAGTGTTATGTTCTTTCTCTTCTGTCAGGCTGTTGAAGCAGTCAGATTTTACACTAGCAGTTATCTTCTGAGAGCAGTCTGATTAAGAAGCGATATATGTAAATTGTATTTACACGTCAATGCGTAGAACTCATGGGATCAGCCAGATAACATGGGGAATGCTATGCCATTTATAAAATAAAAAATAAAATAAAAACTGAGTTGCAGCCCGCAATCACTAAATGTAAGTTACTGATCCAATAACACTGGATTTCACGATGACATTGACATGGAAACTGTACTTGATTCTTGTCGGTCACATTATGGCTTCATCCACTCCATCAGGTCAGTTTAGTGTCTTCTCACAGTTCTCTTCCAGCCATTAGTGTTGCTGCTTGTTGTAAACATGCTGTAAATGTAAAAAAATGTTTAATATTATGGTGTTTTATGATATTATGATTAATAAATATAGTCTTAAGAGCGACATGTTTGACCCTCTTATTCAATTCAGTCAAGTACAGAAATATCTTTCAGATGTCTACATTTTTGTAAATTCTGAAATAAACACATTTATTTTCTATTATTCACTTCCTGTTTCCTGCCAGAGCTGGCGCTAGAGGAGATCTGCCGCTCGGAGGGTGACGACACAGATGACATGGACACTGAACCTGGCTCCTGATTGGCTGCTGCCATCGAAGAGGGACACTTTACTGGAGACGAGGAAAGAACAGAGAGTAAAGTGGGTGTTGGAAATTAGATGAAGGACTACAGAAAATTCAGAAATCTCACTGTATTGATGGAAGCTCAAATGGATGTCTTCTGCTGTCCGATGAGATTTAACAATAAAAGAAGAAGGTGAGAGAAACTGCACAGTATGATGTTTACATTTTCCTTTCTTTCTGTCTTTACTCTTTAAACGGGCCATATTCTGCTTATTTTCAGATTTCTGAACTCCAATGTGAAATATTTACAGGCTTTAATGTTCAAAAAGGTCTTTATTTTTCTCATACTGCCTGTGCTGCAGCACCTCTTTCCACCCTCTGTCTAAAACCAGACTGCTCTCATTGGTTAGCTGGCCGGCTCTGTTGTGATTGGTCGGCAACTTAGAGATGTCCCGCCCCTTAGCCTATCACATACATTAGGCGCTTTCACACCGGAGTACTTTTCCCCGTACTTTTCCCTTTTAGTTCCGATAGTTCCTGGGATTTTGCGTTCACACCAAAAAGAGAACTTAGTTCAGAGAACTTTTAACCCCTTTTCAGTCCCTGCTAGAGAGCAGGTACTTTCCTGGGGAGAAAAAAATTCCAATTTCTGATTGGCTGGGCGAATTGCAAACCACGCCCCTTAAAACTCTGAAAAGTTTTGTGAAGCCGCCATTTTATTTGCTGGCATTAGCATTATTAGCCCAGCGCACCAACGGAGAGAGAATAACTTATGGCAACACAAAAAGAAACATAGCAGCGGTGGAGATGAGGAGGTGTCGGCGTTCTGGCGATTTACTCGGAAGGCTTCTACTGAAGCCAGTCCCCAACTCCGGGGACTTCCGGCCGGGGACTTCGGGTGGCAGTATACGCCGTGAAGTTGTTTGCGGCCTGCCAGTAAACCCAAAGCAGAAGAAGAAGAAGTGACGTTAGCGGCTTCATTTGCCTAATCCTCCCCCAGGGACTTATTCCGGTGTGAACGGAGGTCGTTCCATGGGGGAACTAAGTGCTGGGAACTAAGTACGGCAAAGTACTTGGTGTGAAAGCGGCTAAAGTGTTGGAGTGCTAGTCAATAGAAGCACGAGTGTCTGGGAGAGAAACTCCGTCTGGAGGGAACTTTGGGATGTTAGCCTTTGCAGACCATTTACATGCACAAAGACCTCTATAACACACTACAGGAAAGGGAAACCCCCAAAAGCACAATAGGGCCCGTTTAACAGTTTGGGCGGCTGTAAAGGTAGGTAATATAGATGTGGAGTTGGTAGCAATATTATCATCAAACTTAACAGTGGGGATATTTTTGATTTAAATACCATTAAATGCTGCTTTTTTAACTGCTTTATACTATTGCCTTTATAACAATTCCAATTGACTCTATTCTTTTTAAGAGAGTCTGTCTTTTTGGCTGAAAGTTAGACGATATAATCAGTAACACTTAATGCTAGACACTTGTGCCTCATGTTGCTACGTGAGATACAAACAGGTTTCTACACAAATCCCAAACATTTTAATAACCAAATAAAAAAATACAGACCGGCTTTGTGTGTTTTGTTAGTTGAGGACTAATTAAATTAAAGCATAAACAAAAACCAGTTGGAGGCAGAACAGTTTGTGAAACATCTTTAATTGTATCTCTAGAACTGAGGTGTGACACATTCAGAAGAAGGCATCCTATTGGCTGGTTGCGTGGTCGTTCTGTCAAAGACTTCAGTGTTGGGAAATGTTTTAGGCCAGTTATCTCAAGATTACAACATTGCTATTTTCATATTATGATTCAACACACAGTGCTTATATTCGTTCCTTTATTCTGAGATGTAATTATACTCTTCTGTTGACACGCATCAAAAATAGTTTTTTTTTTTATGATCACGAAATACGGCACTGTTATTTTGGGATGGTGGTCGATCGAGAGCCACTTTTGATGTCCCAGAATAATCCTTCTATTTTTGCTGAGGTGAACATATTTGAAATCCAGGAAATATTTCATGTCTCAAGAAAACATAAATCTTTCTTATAATATGAGTTAATCCTTTTTTTGGATAACCAGTTTTATAGGCACCACAAAAACAGAAATCAATGGAGTGTGAATGTTTTAATCGTGAATAAAATAGCTTCCATTACACTAGGATCACCAGAAAAGAATGGGAAGCTCAGCTAATTTAAAATCAGACTTAAACTTAATCTAAACTTCTGAACTTTTCTCTGGGGATTTCTGTTTTTTAGGAAGATTTTTATTTATTTTTGCAAACACAGGCGGATCCTTGTCTTATAATTCTAGGAAGCAACCAGGAAGTGTAAACACTGAGAGAAAGTGGCTGGTCCCCTTTACATTGTTTCTGGGAATTTCTCTACTTTAGAAGTCGCTAGTTGAGGAAGGCACATGTGAGTCTGGTCAAGTAACCCAGGATTATACTGTGTCTGTAGTGTGTGTGTGCACTCTTGTATGTCTATCTTTGTGAGGACCTACTTCAGTTTTTGACTGGTTGTGATATTTTGTCTGAAGGCTGTTTGAGGTTTTCAGTGTGTTTTTTTTTATTAGAGTAAATATCAGGTTAAGGTCCCCCAAGGGTTGGGGCTAATTAGCTTAATGGCAATAGACAAGTTATGGAATAAATTAACGATTAAGTAAATGTTCCTTCACTGTGGAATTAATGGCTGGAGAAGAATGGCACTATCAGCATTTAGATTGGTTTCCCAATAATAATCCTTCCTTTTTAATTATGCAATACTGTCTGTTTCTTGGTACGAGTTCTTGTGTAAATGAATACTTAGTTTACCACAGAAAAGGACATGCTTCAACCATTGCGACACCAAAACCATAAGAGGATGGTGTTTGGATTTTCCCCTGTATGTATCAGCAGTTACCCAGGGCGGATTTGGCGTTGGGTGGAACAACCAAAGTCTAATAAAAAAACACGAAGCAATGTGTTTTGGATTTTTACCGAGTGGTCTGAAGAACTTGCTAAATTAGAAGCTAGCTGTTGGCTTTCTTTATGGCATCGATGCAAACAATAATACTTCTTTAAAACTCTAGGGGTGGAGTTGAATTACATTGATTTGGGTCCTCACAAGTATAGAAGTACAATTGTGTGTCTTAGTGTTTTTCAGTCCATGTTGGAACCACCTGGTCATCGTCCTCTTGTTTAGTCTGTGGTGTTTTGTGCGAGCTGTGATGAGTCTTTTGTGTTTTGTGATGTTGCATGCGGGGATTGTTAAGCCACGGGTGCATCAGCAGCTCCGACGCCGTCAGTCTCTCTGCGGGTGACTTCCTCAGCATGCAGCCAATCAGACACTTGGCTCGTGGCGAAAGCCAATCAGGCAGGCTGAAGGCCCCGCGGCGGATCTTAGCGAACAGCGCAGCGGGTTGTGTGTCCTGAAACGGGTATCGTCCAATCAGCATGGTGTACAGAGACACGCCCATGCTCCAGATGTCTGCGGCGCGGCCCGAGTAAGACCTGTGCCCATTGGTCAGTAGCTCGGGGCTGACGTAGGCGGGGCAGCCGTGTCTGTCCGTCAGAGAGTCGTCGTCATGGTTCCCGTGCAGGAGGACGCAGTCGTCGAGGCCGAGCAGAGCAACACGTGTCCTGCAGAAATAAAACCAAACATTTAATTTATACGTCATTACACACATTTATGGTTTCATCCATTTAACACTGATACCATTTATGATATTGCTGCTACTAATAATACTGCTGATGTTAGCAGTGTCATTATTTTCAGTCTCACCTGTATTTGTCGGTGAAGACGAACCTGCGGAGCTTCAGGTCTCTCAGGACGACGCCGTGCTGGTGACAGTGAGTCACGGCGTTCAGCATCTGAGTGAACAGATGCCCCGCCTCCTCCTCGCCGACAACTTTCCTGCTTCGCACATACGCGTGCATGTCACCGTGGTGAGTGGGAAGGAAGACGTACACGCTGTCCTGGCCAATCACTACGTCCTGCAGGCTGCAGATGTTGTCATGGTCACCGATGCGGGAGTAAGCAGCCAACCGCTCCTGGTAACCACGCAGAGGAATCACCTGTAACCATGACATTCAGGTTAGATAACACGGTTACAGTTAGAAACTTCACTGTGGCATGGGCAGGTGTTTTTACAATATCATGAGTATTTTCAACAGTACTTACAATATTACTAGCAGTATCAGCATTATTTCCAAAACGTTTTTCAATAACAATTTTTTGCAGGTATAACCATAAAAGTGTTTCCAAAACTATTGGTATTTATTTTAGCAATATGAGTAGTTTTATAAGCAATATCAAGAATTTCCAGAAGCATTTTGTAATATTTTAGCAGGATTAGCAGTTGGCAGTATCTATAGTATTTTCAGCAATATTGGCACAAGTAGTACTTGTATATTCAAATGATCAAGTAAGTTAAAAGTATTTTCAGCAGTTTTAGCTTTATTTTTGGCAGTATATAATGTAGCCTTTTTATACAAGCACGATAATATTTTTGCTGTATAAACAATATAAGTATTAACCCATTAGCTTTAAGTAACTGTACTATTTTTACCACTTTAAACAGTATTCATGCATAGATATAAACGGTATCAATCATATTTTTTTCAGTACGAGTTATGTTTAATGTAGTATCACAATTCCTTTCAGAAGTATAAGCTATAATTTTGGCAGAATCAATAGCATTAGCACCAGTATGTGTTACAGTATAAGCAGTATTTGTAGTACTTGTTCCAGTATCAGTGACATTGGTAGCTCTACCTGGCAGGTGTATTGCTGTTTTGTGTGTGCGTGCTCGGCCCTGTAAGTCTTCTCCCCCTCGCAGCGTTTAAACAGGATGTAGGATCCCACTCTGGAAGGTGATTGGCTCTGGTCGGGCTTGGGGGAGGGGCTTATGGGCCTGAGGCACTGCGAGAGTCCGGTGGCCGGAGGGGTCGGATCCAGACGAGCTGCTTTCCATTTGGGTGAATTGTCCTGGGGCTCGTCCAACAGTCTCTTCAGACAGCGCTGAGAACTGGCTGCAGTCACGGCCATGCTCATCTGTGATTGGAGGAGACAAAAGACATCCGGTTAATTACAACTTGCATCTTTTGATATAACTGTGGCTGAAGAGGAGGCATTTTAAAACAATATTATCAAAGTGAAAAAAGTGAATTAAAATGTAAGGCTTTGGGTTGGATTAATTAATGGGTTTGGGTAATTGAAACACATAATAAATACATTTTATACATACACGCATTATAAATCTATAATAATAACACATGGGATTTGTACAGCGCTTTTCCTGATGCTCAAAGACGCTTTACATGAAATCAGAACAGAAACGATACAAAGAAAACAAAAAACATAAACAATGTGCAAAACTATGCACCTGAATCGCAGTCGCATTGTTTTCCCATTTTTATTTTTATCATAACAATTATTTGTATAGTTGCTTAAGTCTGAAGATTTCAGTGACGGTTCACAATGTATGTGTGTTTTAGGTATGATCTTGTAATAAATACCTAAACGGCAAAGAAAATCCGAGCATCATTAAAAAAAAAAAAAAACACCCGAGTAAGAATAAAATAATGTTTATAATGAGATGTAAAATAATTAAACAATATAATTGATAATTAGACAGACGCAGCAAGTAACTAATTTAAAAAAAGCACTGAACATAAGTTCTGAACAGTTTAAATATGAGAAATGAAATTACGAACGTGTGGTAATAGTTGGTCGTATTTCAAGAATTGTTCTAGAAGAAACTGGAACTTTTTTTCCATTCACTACTTAGCCCCCTCTGCTGGTCACATCAGTGCTGAGCCTCCCTCACAACCCCCCACCGGTATATCTACCCACAGTAAAAAGAGTTTTATTAGATGATATTATATCACATCTCGGTGTGTTGCGAGTCTCTGCTGCTCTCATGTTACACAGCTAACGTGTCTATAGGCTTCATGATGAAACTTCCTGTAAGCTGACAGACGCTTCAGCTTTCAGATCATTGCATCAGAGCACAACAGTTTATAGTTTAAACACACTTTAAATACAGTCAACATCTACCACACACACACACACTCACATTGAGTGTTTTTATATAGTTAGTCAGAGCCTTTGGTCGCCGTGGTGATGCTGTGTTGTAGCCTGCTGTTGGCCAACGCTGCTTTCACTCTGGTGAAACACTCTGAGTCACAGCGTCACCTTACCAACGTCATACTGACACACGCACACACCGAAACACACACAGTTAATCTCTGCTTTGTGATGTCTAATCTAGTCAGCTGCTGTTTCACAATCAAAAATCTGACTGTTAATAATAAACACAGAAAAAAGCTCTAAACTAGATTTTACTAAATGCAGCTGATTGAGAAATCTCAAGCACGTTTCTCAGATTTAATCTACATATTCTGAGACAAATCAGCATCCATTGCGGTAGTAAGAGAAACCCTTTGTGAGTTCAACAAAGTTTAACAATTACTTTATACAAAAACTACAAACAACTGCACAGCTCAAACAACTACAAAACTACACGTCCAATAAAAAATGTGCAGCGCCGGTGCTTGAGCCATTTGTAAAATTCACAATGCTCTCGGCTAATGTAGTTTATTTTAATAACAAGATGTATCCTTTACTGTCTGATTTTTTTAAAAACACATTTAGACCGTTTACTCTATAGCTACAAGGATAAGTTGACTGATGAATTAGTCAAAATAATCACCAAGGATTTTGATAATCAATAAAAACGTTTCATGTGAAAATGACATTAAATGCTGTGGTCAGCCTTTCAAATATGGAGCTTTTCATGTTCCTTTTTCTGTTTCAAATCATATTTGACACTGACAAAACAAGACATCTAAAGACTTCACTTTGAAGTTTAAAAAATGGCGCTGGACTTTTTAATAGACGAAACAACCAAGAAATTAATTGGCGGATGAATTTATCACTAAATAAAGTGTTTTTTTCAGCCATAGTTCACCCTCTCTGTCAGGCTATTATTTATTCAAGTATCTGAGCGCAACACTTTCATTTGCCCGTAGACTCACCTTTTTGTCAAGCCTTGATGTGAATCCTAAGGCTTACACCTAAGGTCTTAACTTATGGGAGATTGCGTTCATTAAAGGCAGCTAAAATTATATATAAAGTAAAAAAAAACTGTGTCCTTATGTAGATTCATGGAGTTAACAGGGAGTTGGTGGGGTTTTATTACTCTGGAATAGAACCTGGCAGCTGAGTTTTCACGTTGGCTCCTTATTTGAACATACTGAACTCTACTGGTATGTATTTGTTTATTTTATTTGGAATTGAAAAGTTGTACTCTTATCTTGTCTCCATCTCAACGTAGACATTCTGACATCTACTCTCAGTCCCGCGTCCTGTTTGGTCTCTTTACTTTAGAAGGAAATCTGCTCACTAACATCTCTTCAAACTCATCTTACAATTACAAGGGCTCACATTTTTTGGTCCTAATTAGCTATCTTTTGTATCTGATTCTAAATAACTTTAATACAATTGTTTTCAACATGGTTTAAAAGTTCCAAAAGCAAAACAGCTACTGAGCTCACAACAACAAACCCATCTCCATGAAAACTGATGCAACAATTCATAAACTCTGCTCTGTCAGAGGTGTAAAACGTATGTTTACTCGATGACTGCATTTAGGTTCAATTTTCAGGTATTTCTACTGTAGTGCATATACTGCTAACGTGTACACCTTGACCACATATCAAAGCTAAATTCACATTATAACCTACTGCATTCAACTGACAAATAAAGATTTAACAAACATACATGCTGAACTCATAAGAAGTGCTGGGAAAAAGGAGAAAATCAGATATCCAAAATAGTTTTGAACAAATAGATATTAATATTGCAAAGATTGGAGCTTTCCCTAATACTTACACAATGACATTTTTGATAAAGAACCATCCGCAATGTGGATATAATGGCTGAGTGTATAAAATAAGACATCACTTTACTGTAATGCATCTTAAATAGCTGAGCCCCATTAGATATAATCATTTTTATAGATGAAACAACCTAAAGTGAATTAAATAGTTTGTGTGCTCCATCTCCACCAGGTACACTATAATGATGCTGTTTACATGTGAATGCATCGGTAAAAAGAATCGATAATACTGTATTAGTTACTCGGATATAGATAATTCTGCACAATGAGTAGCCTACCTTAGTACATTTGGCTGATGTAATGTGACTTGAATCAACGACATACACTTGATGTCATATGTTTACATTTTGCTGACAGTTTTATCCAAAGCGATTTACAATAAGTGGTATAACCCAATATTTGTGTACTTTTACTTTCACTTAAGTAAATGATCTCGTTCTATATCTTACCTTGTGCTTTAAAGAGAGGGGCTGCAGGTAAACAGGAAGCCAGGTGAGTCACAGCAGCAGTCTGTCTATGGAGCAGAAGTTGTTGAAGACATCAAAACAAAAAGGTTTCCCCCTGAGTTTGAACCGGTACAGTATAGCGGACTGTCCGGTGGTGACGTCTTTGTCTCGGTATTATTATTATTGTCCCGGTTGCTCAACGTTTCGTCAGTCAGCTGTTGGTTGAGTTTCTTTTTCGGTCTGAATGAAATTAATAAACTTAAGGTGACAAAAATGGAAGCTGCAAAAAAACAACCGAACTGTTTTTGATAAGACTACGAATGAAACTATTTTGTTTATGTATATATCCGGAGCTGAAGCGAACAAAGCCGAGCCAACCCGAGTCCTTCCGTCCGTCTTTGGGAGTTTAAATTAAAGTCATGTCCGTGTGTTGCTCCGCTTTATATCCAGTGTGGACCTCCGGGACTCTGGTCGGCTCTGACCCTGTTCTCCAGAACTTTCAGCCGGACTGAGGACTTGCTCGATCCCCGGGTGTGTTTGCTTCATCCACCGGGGGGCGGAGCCTCGATGGTGCAATCCTGAGCGGATCAGTCGTCAGAAAACCGACACGAGACTCCGCACGAGCTGTTTCAATATGTTTCTATACGTAACGATAGCCTCCGGCTCTGGTGGAGGAAGTACTCTGATGTCTCGATTAAGAAAAGGTAGCAATGCTACATTACTAACGTGTAAAAGTAATTAATTCAATGTTCCACTAAAGTAAAAGTATTATAATTATAACACTATATGTATTAACCATACTTGAAGTACCAAAAGTGAAAGTACTCATTATGCAGTATAGCCCATTTCAGAATGATGTTCATTCATGTATTGTATTATAATTTCTTACATATCTTAATGTGTTTATCACTTCAATTTTTCAGATAGAAAATATGTTTTTATTATTATTACTTTATATACCACTGGCTAGCTTAACCTTTAATATCATGATTTATGTAAAATAAATATAGTGGAGTAAAAGTAGCATAATGTGAAAAATACTCCAGTAACGTACCTTCAATTGTACTTGAGCAGTACCTGAGTAAGTGCACTTGGTTACATTCACTGAGTAAAAGTAGTAACATACACTGTATAAATAAAGTTTGCTTGACTTTTTCCTTTATTACCCAGAATCTCCAGTTATACTATTAAGTAATAGAAATCTCAAAGATGTTTTCCTCTGACAGTAACTACAGTACAGTGAGTTTTTTTAATATCTGCAGTATGTGTGAATTTAAAATAACAATTCTTTGCAGTTTTGCATTGTGCAGAAGTGTGCAAAATAAAGTAATGTGCAAAGGACAGTAATTGACAGATCCCAGTCTTGTTTGATTGCAAAACCTGACCGTGGACCTGCAGAGTTGCAGCCACCTGCTGACCTTTGACCCTAATCTGTCCGCAGTCTGCTGCTGGAGGCTCAACACAGTGTGATCTGCATCCACGTCTGGCACGTTCTTTAAATATAGTCTGTTTGCACGCTTCACCATTCTCTGAACTCTGTCTCCTCTCACCTGCCTCCCTGGCATAGATGAAGTTATATCAGCTGTGTCATAAGAATTGGATACTATAACTTAAATATAATAATTTTTAAAAATCAATCAAAGAAATGCAAATGCTGGCACACATTTTTATCACCCCTTCAATATTTCCCCCAAATAAATAATTGAAGCGAGAACTGTTGATACATGGTCCTAATATCATTTTTAAACACATTTTAAAATACTTAAGGCCTAAAAGTTTTTTGACACTAGGCATGGGCCATTGAAAGTGCCTCTGTATATATTTTGAAGAAAAAATATTATTTTGCTCAAACTTTCAAGCCTTTCTCTTTTAAATGGTCTTTGTCTCAAACTATTTCATGTTGGTTTCCCTGATTTTGATTCAGGGTGACCTTGTAAAGTCTTTATATTTCGTGCTTGAGAAGGTGTGGGAACCCTGTTGATATATGATGATATATGTTAATATATAATGATATTATATGTTAATATATATATATATATATATATATATATATATATATATATATATATATATATATACTACAAGATATATATTGTGTATATATTCATACATGATCTGTATGTAACAGACAAGGCCCATTGGGTACATTTTAATGAATGAGTTCTAAAGAGGAGAGGCCCTCATATGAAACCTTTTAAGGCATCTGCAATGTTTGTTATTTGAAAAAATCGGTATTTTGCAACAAAGGTGCATGTGACCCATGGCGATAAGACACCTGTTCCCTCACGGTTCCTGCAGATCTTTAAAAAAATGTTTTCGATCTAAAAATAAGGTCTTAGTTGGTATTAAAATATCTTAAAAGCATGACATGGGACCTCCATGTCATGCTTTTCCGGTTATTACCCGTCCCCTTGTGTGTTATGAAGGTTTTTCTGCATGTAAACGGTCTGCAGAGTCACAAACCCTCAAAGTACACCCTGTAGCGAGTAAAACTCTAACACAGAAAAGACCTGTCTGTGCTGCCCCAGAACGCCTCGTTGGAGATTTCTCTTTTCCATTGTTTTCTTCCTGGGTACAGTGAAGTGCCCATACCCAAATAGACCCATTGGTCCAAATAGACCAATCCGTGGAGCCGTTACGTTACGTCCGCGGAGCCGTTAGGTTAAGTCCGTGGATTGGTTCCTCAAACACACACACACACACACACTCAATCTTTTCTCAGCTGCAGCTCCACCGATTTCTCCTCCCTGAGACGGCGGGACGCGGCGAGGCTGTGAGTCGGTGTGTGAGCACACAAACTCCCAGCCAGGCTGCGGGTGTGTGTGTGTGTTCGGGCTGGGTTTCGCTTTGTCTCGCTGTCTCGCAGACGGCCACTGGGCTCATAGGGAGGGGGGGGGGCAGGAGCTCCAACAAGCCGTTTAGGACAGAGAGTGAATACACATACTATACAGAGATGCTGTATGAGAAACCTATGTGAGTTTGGAAAATTGCACAATATAAATCTATTCTAGTATACCTCAACAATGGAATTATGAGCAGTAGAAATGGCCAGGACATGGGACCTTTAAATGGGTCTTTAACAGTTATTTATAGTACTTACACATGGCAAGTTGGATTTTATGGAGTTTATGACACTTACTGATTATTTTCTGACATTTATTATCACGATTTCATTAAAGTTGCATTAAAAAATCTGAAATTGAAACCTGTCCTAACAAGGTGTGTGGTCCCTTCAACTTGTTATGAATCCATAGATATTAAATACTTTATGCTTCTTGTGAGTTATATATTAGTCCTATCATGCTATATTTGGTCAGATGGGACCATTATTTCTTCCTAAAATATTCTGAAATATAAAGAAAAACAGTCATATGTGCCCAAAAGCTAACCATAGCATTATAAGAAAAACTTGCCTTTTAGCTGAACAGTTTATACTGATTTTGAAAAGGCGCACACAACATTTCAGCAGCGGGCTAAAATGCAGTACTTAAGTAAATGTACTTAGTTACTTTCTATGCCTGCAAACGTACATGTAATTGACAGGAAGTATCTCTCCACCACACACAAACAACTTGCTAGCATCTCAAACTGGAGTCATTTTAAACAGGAACACTACTGTGTACTTGTTACAGTGTAGTTCAGTGTCAGTTCACAGAGGAGGAAAGATCAGAGACTGACTGTTCACATGTTAACAACACGTGTGGCATGTGGATTAATCCCAGCAGGAAGCGGTGATAGAAGCCTGCTGCTCCACAGGAAGTAACGTCTTATCTTAATTATGTAGATTTCCTCTGTGACCTGTGACCCGTGTGTGTGTGTGTGTGTGTACACAGTAGGTGTGTGTAGTCAGCTTAGCTTTCGTAGGAAAGATTCCAAGCGCAGGTAAAAAACCCTGACTGACCTTCTTACACACACACACGCACACATACACTACACACAGGCACACGCAGACTCACACACATACACACACAGCAGGTTATCTCCACATGGTTAGTGTGTTTTTATGCCACATGATGAAATATTGAAGAAACAGAGGAGGAACACTGTGTGTGTTTGTGTGTGTTTGTGCGTGTGTGTTAAACTTTACTGTCTCTTTCATAACCGACGTGATGAAATCAGAGGCCAAGTGTCTGACTCAACTACGGCCCGCCACGAGAACACACACACGCACACACATTGTTTCTTCTCTCTGTCCTTGTTGTCTGGACTATCACCTGTAGTGTGACACCTGTGCTGCTGTGATACATCGGATTGTGTGTGTGTGTGTGTGTGTGTGTGTGTGTGTGTGTGTGTGTGTGTGTGTGTGTGTGTGTGTGTGTGTGTGTGTGTGTGTGTGTGTGTGTGTGTGTGTGTGTGTGTGTGTGTGTGTGTGTGTGTGTGTGTGTGTGTGTGTGTGTGTGTGTGTGTGTGTGTGTGTGTGTGTGTGTGTGTGTGTGTGTGATCACTTGAAATCCTCTTTGTGTGTGTGTAGTGAGACCAGCTGTCTGGTCCCTCTGCTTCTCTCTCTCTGTATTTTGCTTCAGGGCATCTTGAAAGTGGCTGACTGTGAGACATTTAAATGAAATATCCTCAAGTGTATCGATCGTTGGCACTTGGTGGTCTCTGCTGAATGTAGCCTAAACCCGCTAAAGGTCTTTAGAGATTATTTGGGGGGCATTTTCACCTTTTTAAATTGACATTTAAGATCTAAGAGGGAGGAATTACATGACATGCAACCAAGAAACCTGGGACATTGTGATATTGCCTAAATCATATAGTTTATTTAAATGTTAATTATTAATGAAATGACTTGATTTAAACAGCTGTTCTTAAATATTGTTTTACTTTTGTTAATAGGGGTTGAGGTCCAGAGCTGCCTGCAGAAAAAAACTCCAGCTGAACCAGAATCAGAAAGACAGAAGCTTCACCGCTCCGTCAAAGGTCAGCAAAGTTCAACTCAGAAACTGAAACTGAATCCACTGATTGCTTTGATTTCTATACATTGTCTGTATTATGTCTCTTAGAGTGAGAATTCAATCAGTTATTAGCCCAAAACATAGCCAGTAACGCATGCTTTATATGCCTTTTAGCAAAAAAATCAAAAGACTACTGCTCTTTTTTTTATTGTTTGTGCCGCAGCTATTCTGTGTTTAGTGCTAATTAGCATGTTAAACCACATTGCACCTGAGGCCTATCAGCATGTAAGCATTGATGTCCCCACAGAGCTGCTAGCATTAGAGTACTTTAATATACATCACAATTTCTGTCAATCAAATGACGAATTTAGAGGATTGTGGTACGCTGGAGGTTTTGAAAAAATAATTAATGGTGTTATAGATGTGATGGATTTGTTTTTGTGAAGCTCTCATCTCATAAAACTGTTATCCCCCTTTTAATACACACACGCACACACACTCTCAGAGGTCACCAGGAATGATGCAAAACTGAGATAAGAAGACCCTTAAATACTGTGTGTGTGTGTGTGTGTGTGTGTGTGTGTGTGTGTGTGTGTGTGTGTGTGTGTGTGTGTGTGTGTGTGTGTGTGTGTGTGTGTGTGTGTGTGTGTGTGTGTGTGTGTGTGT